TTGAATAAAATAATACAATAAGTACGATTATACAGACAAACAATTGGTTTTAACCCACAAAACCCAAATATATAACCCAGCACCCTGGGGCATGAACAGAGTGGTGTTCTTTGGGCCCCCTGAGTCCAAAGTAAAGGGAGAGGGGGAAAACCTGTTGGTGAGAGTGCTGTTGCAGTCTGTCAAAAGTGGTGGTTGCAGTCCAGTCGAGAGTGGGGGTCTGCAGTTTGGTTGAGAGCGGTGATCTGCAGTCTTCCTCTGGATCCCACGAGTGGTAAAAAAAGTTCCAAGACTCCAAGATTATATATTCTCCTGTTCAGGCAGGAATGCTCAGTACTTTCCTCAGGGCAGAGAGTTTCACAAAGGGTGTGAGGAACAGGGAGGCAACCTTCTGTATCAGAGGCCTCTTAACACCTACTTTGTAGCCTGAGGAGTCAGACTGCTCTGGGCAGAGGGTGTAAATAGTCTACTGAAAACAGTTTCTGGGAAATGGCATGGAAGGCTATAGAATACACAGTTTTGGGTTACACCCATCCAGTGATGAACTGGTCTCAGCTGTCCTAACTAGGACAAAGCTCTTGGCTGTGAAGGTGGTGAGACAGTGGCACAGGTTGCCCAGAGAAGCTGTGGCTGCCTCATCCCTGGAAATGTTCAAGGCCAGGTTAGATGGGACTTGGAGTAACCTGGTCCAGTGGAAGGTGTCCCTGCCCATGGCAGCAGATTGGATCCAGATAATCTTGAAGGGCCCTTCCAAGACTCAAAATGTGTCTTCTATGAGTCTATAATCCTTCATGCACTACTAAACTGGACTCATTTTCATCCACTTCCAAACGTCCAGGAATACTGGAAAACAAGTTGGTTGTCACCACCAGAAATGACCAGAAGAAGTGTGATAGACCCAAGTGTGTTTGAAGGAAGTCGTTGAGTCCTGTGGTTTATTTTGTCCCTGATAACCTGGGACTGGCATCTTAAAGTGGTTTTAAGGCAGATAAGGGACAAGGCTGATAAGAAGCAGATTCGGTAGAGCTGGGGCAATCCTTTGTACCATTTTTATCATATTTCCTCCTTTTTGATGAGGCCCAACTGGCCTGACAAAGCAGCAGTTGCAAGAAGCAAGGCCAAACTGTGTTCATGTCATGAGAAAGGGCCATAAACCACCAAAGACCCCCGGAGCATCTCCTGACTCAGTTCCACAGTGTAGCACCACACTGTGTAAAACCCCACTCCAGGGAAGGCAGTGGGGCATTCTCATGAGACCTGGAATGAATAGAACCCATCCAACTCTCTGTGCCTCTGGCCACCACTCCCAAAGGATCAAGGCTACAGACACTGAAATTGCAGGTCTCGTTGCTGGATCCACGGGTGGTGATCTCCTTCCTCTCCACTATCTATTCTTGCCCTTTCCTTCTCTTTCCTTCTGTCTTCTCCTTAGATTTTTTCTTCTTGACATTTCTATACTTTTATAGAAAACAACCAAAATGGCTGCAAACATCCTTTCCACTGCAACCCAGTTGTTTTAAAATAAGCCTGCCTCGTACAGACACTGCTCATTCACCATCATGTCGACCTCAATCATCTATTAGAAGAACTAAGGTCATTGGATGAGCCCCACAAGAGCTCAAGAAACTCCTGCTGAGTTTCAAGACTCAGCAGGAGTGAAGAGGTTGGGGAGCGAGTCAGATGGAGCCCCATGAGGTACAGCAGATTTACCTCAGCCTGAACCAGCACCAGGAGTGGGCTGTGTTGGCATTTGATCCCAGGAGAAAAACCCATGGGGGCAGGGACCTGGGGCACAGGGGCTGTCCAGCAGAAGGGTGTCAGAGTGATATTCCTACTTTGTCCTCCTAAACAGCAAAATATCCTCTTACCTCTCTAAGCTATCCAGCTGGCACAAGTGAGTGCTACTGCTGCTCTTACCATGGCAATGGAGACAACAAGAGCACAAGTCCCTGGTGCTACCAGGCACTACCAGGGTCTGTGCTGGGATCTGGTTCCCTGTGCTCAGGTGTCCAGAGCCACTGCAGATGCCCTTGGGGAACCTGCCTGGCCTCTGGCTGATGGCCCAGATGGGTTTGGTGTTCCCCAGGATTCTGCAGCACATCAGCCCCACCGGGGCTCTCACACACCTCAGGGCACCTCAAGGGCCCAGGGTGCATCTGTTTATGGAGCTGAGCCAGGCCTGGATCTCTGGTGGCTGGGATCAGAGCTGGGACACCCAGCACACCTGGAGACATCTGCGTGTTGCTGCCTGACTTTGCACCTCAACCCCACCCACTGTTTCAGTGCAACCCCCAAAGTGGTTGGTCCAGGGTGAGAGATGAGACACTGTAGGATGGTGAACAACAGCTGCTGAGCTGAGAAGTTGAGGCTCAAGCTGGTACCTCTGGAAGTGACACAGCTTGTGGGAGCTGTTTGCAGCCTGATCCACTTGGTTCATGCCCATTCCTAGCAGAAGTAACTGTAGTCTGATGGGGACACTTTAGTATGTGATATGTCACTTTCAGGTTGGACTTGGACACCTTTCCTCCTGCAAGGATGCTCTGGGGACTGTGACGTCACTAGGGGATTGAGATTTCAGCAAGAAGCAAGTTGTGGTTTATATATAAGATGACCCTGCAATCCAGCACTGGAGCAAATGATTTTTATTGTGAACTACTCAGGAACTACATGATCTGGCATGCACTGATCTTTTGATTGACACATTGAATACATTGATTATATTGAACACTGAATACATTGAACACATTTCACAAAATCATTTAGCCTTAAATCTGCAGAAAGGTTCAGAAGCAGAGCAGAGGATGAAGTTATCCAAGCAGTATATCACAGAAATTTATCTCTGACTGGTCTCCTCTTTTATTTGATCCTGCAATCCTTCCACTAAATCCTGCAGAGATCCAATAATTTCTCCCTCTGCCTGTTTGGTGGCATACCTCTCCTTTTGGGCAACTGTTAAAGCTGCTTCAAAAATTGCACATAAATCTTCTTTACCTTTCTCCTTTCGTACCTTTTGTTCACTTAACATCACATTTATCCATTTAACCACAGCCTCAGGGCTATACCAATTTCCATCAGCCCATTCCATGCCTGGGGAAGTCAGACAGGCATTATATTCTCTCAATTCTTACAAAATCAGGGAGCAGTCAAGCACTGACATTTCCCAGACAGTCTTGACTTGCAGCTGCTCAGATCCCTCCTGGCTTTTAATAGCCAGTGGATCACTTCCCAGCCCTCCCTGCCCAGAATTCATAGGTAGAGTGATGGAATCCTGCATGCACCCCTTTCAACCACAGCATCCTGCCCATGGTGCCAAAAATGTGATGTTCCACCTGTAGCAGGATGCTTTGCCTGGAATGGGATAAAACAACTTGAACAACGGCCTCAGTGCTGAATGGAGAAGAAAGAGACACGCTGCTCTTGCTGTGGAGTAATGCAGAAACCAGCTGAATTCATCAATCCCAAAGTTAAACATCCTGAGACTGAGAAGAAGATGAAGATGGTAAAGTACTCAATAAAGGAACAAGCAAGTGATACTACTAAAAAATTATCTAAGCCTGCTGAGCTGACACAGCTGGTCTGGAGACATCTGACTAACAGTCCATCATTTTATGCTGTAAAAGCCCAGTCCCACTTCTTAATGGCAGAGTCTTCTAACACAGCCCTTCTTGGAGAGTGTGTGTGGAGATTCCTCCCTTGCGTGGGGATGCCCCTCAAGGTCACTCCTTGAGGCTGAGTAGAAGAGATTTGCCCAGGGTCATTGGTATGGTAACATCAGTCTCTACTTAATAATTTACTAGCTTTTACTAGCCTTAATGTAACTGCTTTAGTATAATTGCTTCAATAGTGCTCCCTAGTGTACTATGTCATACTAGTAGTTATAGCTTCTGTACTGCATAGTAAATAGGTCTGATTAAGATCCTTTTGTTTAATTTTTATTATGATAAATCATTTCTATTCATGTAAACCTATCTGGTTTATCATCCTCAATCCTGTGGGACAGAGTTGTGTAAGGGTTCAATTACACCTCTATAATCCTTTAGACCTAAACCATTGACAAAATCTGGGGCTAAGATTGAACCCAGATGCACCCAGACTTCTCTCTGAGAAGTTTAGAAAGCAAGGGGTCCTTTCTGCACCTCATAACTCAACGGGAGGGTTCTCTAATAGACTTTGTCTGAAACTCCCATTCTTCCCACAACACAACCCTTAAGGGAAAGGGAACACTCAAGATTCATAAATGCTCGTGGTCAAAAGGAACTGCAAAAGTGAGAGAGTTCTCAAAAACTCACAACATTTTATTAGTTAATTACACATTTGGCACAGAAATTTGTATGTTACTCCCTGACCTACTATACAGGCACATGGCAGTGGGTACCTTTATATAGATAAGTTTCCCTGCACTGAAAACAGGTTTCTTGCTTCCTCTGCAAATTGGTTTTCATGCACAGTCCATTCTGTCAGATCTTCCTGGAAATGGGTCAGAGGGTTTTGGGGGTCTTGAGTTGTCTTGATCACCAACTACAGCCCATGCACAAGACATTTGTCCCCCTCTACTCTGCTCTGGTGAGAGCCCACCTGCAGTGCTGCATTCAGCTCTGGGGCCACAACACATGAAGGAGGCAAACCTGCTGGAGTCCAGAGGCCACAAAGATGCTCCAAGGCTTGGAGTACCTCTGCTCTGGAGACAGGGTGAGAGAATTGGGGGTGTTCACCTGGAGAAGAGAAGACTCTGAGGAGAACTTAGATCCCATTCTAATACCTAGAGTGTTTTCAAAGAGAGTTGTAGGGGGATATTAGACAAGGGCATGGAGTGATATGCCCTTGGAATGGCTTTAAACTGATAGAGGTCAGGGTTAGATCAGATATTAGAAAGAAAAAATTGACTGTGAGGGTGGTGATGCACTAGCACAGTTCGCCCAGAGAAGTTGTCTGACCCACCCCTGGAAGTGTTCAAGGCCAGGTTGGACAGGGATTTGAGCAACCTGGTCTAGTGGAAGGTCCCCATGGCAGGGGGGCTGAAACTAGATAGATGATCTTTAAGGTCCCTTCCAACCCAAATAATTCTGTGATTCTCTGACATGTGGCGAAAGCTCCTGAACCTTTTAAAGCCAGGATGTGAGGCTTATTCCCGGGGACATTCACTGTCAAACAGAGAAACCTGTCCCCTCCCGTAGAGCTGAGTCAACGTGTCCTCCAGTTCCCCCAGCGTGAGGAGCTGGACCTGGTTCTGGTCGTTCTCGGCAATGACCGCCCAAGCCTTCCTGTGGTTGTTGTCCACCACGCAGCAGGCACTCGACCAGATGTAGCTGGGCTTATTAACCCTCCCCTTGGCAATATAGTTGTTCCCAGGCACAGCACCCACGATGACGTAGGTGGTCTCACAGCCCTGGGTGTTCCTGATCATCGTTCGCTGCTCGTAGTTGTTCCAGGCGCCGCCGTTGAGTTTCTCATCCTGGGGCACTATGTTGGTGAGGGTGAAGGTAGCCATCCTGCTGCTGTAGTTGAAGTGATGGCCATTGGGGTTCAAATGGCCACGGTTCAAACCCGTCAGGTTCTTGTAGTCTTGGAGAATAGCCTGGCTCTCGCTGAGTTTCTCTAAGCTGACATTGTAATGATTTATGAGCGTGCACTCTTTTTCCATAGTTTTGGGATAGGTTGGGCCCATCAGCTAGGCAGGTAAAAAAGAGGAAAAGGTGTTACTACTGGGGATGGGAGTAATGGAGCAGGTTTCCCTGGATCAGAGGTCTTTAGGTGTCAGGAACACATTTTTTGTCATCCCAGTGTATGTAAATATATAAATACATAAATCCAGAGAAATCCTATAGCTGCCCTTCCTGGATGAACACAAGAGCTTTAAGGCAAAAGATACTCAGAGTCTGACTGCTCTCCTTTTGACTTGTGACCTTTGTGATCCAGCCTGCAGCCTGTGGTGGGAGTGTGGCTGGATGCATGAGACAATGAGCATTTTCCACTTCTAGAATTGAAAGGTGACTTTAGTGAGACATATTCCCTGTCACATCTCGTTCCCTTTTCACCTGTCTCCTCATCCCATATCTGCCCGAGTGTCTTCTCACTATCCAACCTTAATCCCCTGCATCTAATCACAATGTCACCTGCCTTGATCTTTTCTGCATTTTCACAAGAGTTGTCTCAGTCTCTATGAAAGGCTTGCATGCTTTTTTAATCCAATGTGTCAGCATATAAGTGCTTTCCAAGCTCAGGGAAAACAAGGACTCACATATCCTCTTTGAGGGCTGGGTGTTTTGGAGGTAGACAGGATGGGGAAGAGGATGAGCAGAAAGGCTGTGGTGCTCCTAGAACTTCCAGGAGGAGAAAAGGACTCAGCCCCATCTCCTCCTCTCCTTCTCTACCCCTTACTTGGGAAGAAGTAATTTGGCTATTTTACCAGAACACTGGGTGAGAGGACAAGGACAAATGGCTTCAAACTGACAGAGGAAAGGGTTAGATTACATACTAGGATGAAATCTTTCCCTGTGAGGGTGGTGAGGCACTGGAACCTTTTGACCAGAGAAGCTGTGGCTGCCCCATCCTTGGAAGTGTTCAAGGCCAGGTTGGATGAGGCTTGGAGTGACCAGGTCTAGTGGAAGGTGGCCCTGCCCAAGCAGAGAGGTTGGAATAAGATGATCTTTAAGGTCTCTTCAAACCCAAACCATTCTATGAGTCTATGATTGCACGCTTTTATCTCTACTAAATGTGGAGGTTGCAGTGGTGCAATACCACATTAGTTGCTCAAGTTCCTATAAGTAACAAGTGAAAACGTTTTTTTATTTCATAACTACAGCACATTTCTTTTCATCTTTAGGGAAACGTATTGAGCCTTTCTCTGGAACAGGGCATATGGCTTTCTTCTGTCGCTCATTTTGACCTGAAACCCGTCTGCTACTGTGTCCTCAGCCATACCCTGAATTTCCTGTCTTTCTCTTCCATAATTTCCTTGGCCTATTTTACTGAAGGTCTGAAGTTTGTCTGAAGGAAGTTTGGGAGGACTCTGTTGCTTGTGGAGGTCTGTATTTCTGATGGATTCTTCTGAACCAAGCCTGAGGCAATGGTGCTCAGGGGCAACTGGCCATGGCTGGAGATCACCTCGTTCTGACTGGACTGACACTGATGCTCCTCACTTTTCACTGCCCGAAATATCACTCAATACATTCCCCAGGTGTTCACCAAATCCTCTCACCACTCAATGGCTGTGCCAAGGCTTTTTCCCTGGACCATCTCACTCAATAATGAGTTTCTCTCCAGTTCTCTCATGTCATTTACAAAGACTCTTTGACTGTGAGAAATTAAGCTCTGTCAGGGATGCAAAACAGCTCAGGGCAAAGTGGAGATCAGAATCCAGCAGGACTGTTGGTCCCCCAAATTTAGCTGCTGTTGGATGCCTTTTCCCCATCACTGACTCTCCCACCACAGCAGGGCACAGACAGGGAGGTCATTTGACTTTGGAATGGAATGGAATTTGCCTTGATGTTGCTCTCAGGTCAATGCAAAAAAATGGGCACCTTTGGGATAGGACTCATCCTCCTGCTGCTGTCTCAGACACATCAGAGGAATCATGTGGTGCAGGTGTTTGAATTATATGAATCTCACTCAGTGGCTCCATTTATGTGTGTGTGTATGGGGGTGGGTGGAAATAGAAGTGTTTATTTAAATACTAATGTTCATGTTTTAATGTCTGGAGGGTGCCATGCTGTTAGAGAGGACACTCACCTGGGGCTCAACCAGCCACCCTTGAGGTCGTTTGCCGGGTCCAGGCTCGTAGATGTAAGCAGAGTACACGGGAATACGCTCCTTTCTGTCGTACAAGGTGGCATAGAAATACTGGTTCTTGTAGCGCTGGCAGATCCAGGCTGGGTTCTCTGGCTCCAGGGCTTCATTTGGGGGAGTCTCCCGGAAGAAAAACTGAGGACATGAACTTTCAAAGGACGTCACCACCTCACCCTGTCCCAGCCAAAGGCAGCTCGCCCAGACCTGCAGCAGCAGCAGCCACAGCATCGTGGGAGGATTTCAGGTGAAGGGCTCTTTCTCCCCTGGGAGGCAAATGCAGAGGGACACTCAGTTTGGAGAGTCATGGCCTGCAGTCATTTTTGTGCTGGTGGGACACAGTTGGCAGAAGAGGGGACTACGAGAGACCAAGGAGGGGATAACTTCTGTCCTCTGGGATATGGAAAAATCAGCAGGGCAAGAAGGGTGTGTAGGAAGATGACTGGGGGTAAAAGGATAACAGTATGGAAATTACAGGGGAAAATATGGTTGATACTCCCTGGATGGAACACAGTCAGCATACCTGGCCTCCTGCACACAACACAATTTAAGGGGACTAAACAGTGGGTGGAGCAGAGCAGAAACACCAGGGCCAGGCTCTGTCGAAACCCTTGCAGAGGAGGAACCTCAGTGGTACTTTCTAGCTGATAAACTGCACAGCAGCTGAAATCCGAGGGAGATAAAGGAAGATGTCCTGATGCTGAATCAGCAACTGTGGTGCAATCACTCTCCTTGGACTTACACATGTCCCCATCCCCTGGTTATCTCTAGTACTACACTGAGATATCCACTCCCAAGGTACAACCATTTTCCACTGAGTAATATGTATGAGTAAAATCACACAGGCTCCACCTAAATGTAAAGAGATAGTGTAAAAGTGAGTTAAAAATGGGGAGAAGTGAGGGAAGACTCCATCATAACTTCTGGGATCAGATGATGGGCTGAACCTGTCTTCTCCCCCATAGGGACACCTATTGGGTAAGGACCATACTCTGTGAGGGCTAAATGATTATCTCCAGCCAGCTTTTTTGGGAGATTAGAGCTTGTTGGTGTGTTGCTTTGAATTAATGTATTGCTTTGAATATAGTTTTCCCGTCAGATACTATCACTGATTATCTTGAACCTTAACCTGCCACACAGTGTTATTAATAAAAAGTGTTATTGTAGAATCATAAAATCATAGAATATACTGAGTTGGAAAGGACCAATCAGGATCATCGAGCCCAACTCATGGCCCTGTGCAGGACACCCCAACAATTCCATTGTGTGCCTGAGAGTATTGTCAAAGCACTTCTTAAGCTCTGTCAGGCTTGGTGCTGTGATCACTGCCCCGGGGAGTCTGTTCAGTGCCCAACCACCCTCTGGGTGAAAAACCTTTTTCTGACACCTCACCTAGACCTCCCCTGACTCAGCTTCATGCCATTCTTGCTTTCTTCTGCTCTGAGGGTCTTCCCACAACAGAAACCTGCAGCTGGGCATGGATTCTGCTCAGTCACCTGCAATTAGTTCGTGGGGCATTTGTCAGGGAAATAACAGCAATGCTGCACTTCCTACAAGTCTCTGCCCCCATCCAGGTTCACACAGATATGCAGCTCTTCCATTCAGGTGCTATACTGAACCTGAGATTGTCCTGGCTCTCAGCCGACAATGGGATATTGAGCTACTTATGCCCTTGTTCTCACCCAAGACATCTGGTCCTTTATCTCCCTACAGACCCTGGAGCTGGTCAGAAACAGAGAACAGAAATCACAAGCAGTGGCTTTTTACAGTGCTCTTCAGAGCAGGACCATCTCTGCCCCAAATCAAAAGAGAAGTTCCTGAAAAGTTGTGTTGCGAAACCCCCTCCACGACCTTAAAATATATCTCACTTAATATCAGATAGATAGAAACCAACTTACCATGGGAAAGAGCAGCTCAGGACTCTGCTCACAGCCCCAGAGTGGTAGAACGCTGAAATGTCTCTGCTGCAGTCTGAGACTGGCTGTTTATATATGATCCCCCTGGAAGGAAGGTTGTGAGATTTCCCACACAGGGTTTAGAGTAAATTTGCCCAGGAGTGCAACCGGCACCTGTGTTTGTCCAGAGGTCTTTTGCAAGGTCATGGGTGGAATTTTGGTACTCAATAAGCTCTGCACCACACCTCACCCCTCCTGATTCTTAGTCAACATTATGGTGTGAATTTTCCAGGTGACTTGGCTTGAATTTCTCTCCCAAATCCATCCTTCTGTCCTTGCCCTCCTTAATACAAAAAGTTAAAGAGCTGCACAATTCAGTGCATGCATAACCTCTCATTTCTCCATGGAAGGCAGATGGTGGAGCTCAGCAACTCCAGCCTATGCTTTGTCTGATCTCTTTATTCCAAAGCTAAGGAAACACTTGAAATATTGGAGTCAATGTTGAGAAAGGAGCAAGAGCTTACCTTGAAGCAGAGTCTCAGAACAGGCAACTGAGCCGCTCCTTGCCTCTTCTCCCTGGAGAAACAGTTGGCTGATCCCTCAGGACTCCCACTGCAATATATGCCCCGTTGTAAATCTGCCCCTTTTGATAAACAGGGAATTCCACAGAAAAGAGAAGTTTCCTGTTGTTGCTCAGGGGAGATTTGTTCATGCCTGCCCAGAAATGGGGAGACAGTTGCTATTTGCAAGTTCCTCAGGATATTTCCCAGCTTGACTGACTTGCAGCATCACGTGTCAGGAGCAGTTAACTGGGTCTGGTGACTTCCCTGTCCATTTCCTCATTCCCCACGGGCTGCAGCTGCTGCTGCAGCAGAACCTACATGTGTCTCTGTGCCCAGCAGAACATCTCTGGTTGCATTAGACTGACCAGCCTGCCTCTGAGTACACTCAGATGTTCACAGTCTGCTGTCCTACAGCCTCTCAGAATATAATTAGTATTGTCAGGCTACGTATTTTTCCTTGCCTAATTGCAAGTGTTTTGTAACAACACTTAGTCATGCTGCCAGCCTAAGGCTGGGAATGCTCTGGGGCACCTTAGAGTTCCTTCCACTACCTGCAAGTGCTACAAGAGAGCTGGAGAGGAACTTTTGTCGTGGGCTTGGAGTGACAGGGCAAGGGAGAACTCCTTTAAAATGAGAGATGGCAAGTTTAGATCAGATATTAGGATTAGATTTTAGTCTAGAGAAGAGGAGGCTCGGGAGGACTTCATTGCACTTTACAGCTACCTGAAAGGAGCTTGTAGTGAGGTTAGGGCTGGTTGCCCAGAGAGGTCGTGGCTGCCTCATTCCTGGAAGTGTTCCAAGGCCAGGTTGGATGTGACTTTGAGCAACCTGGTCTAGAGGATGCCCGTGGCAGGGGCGTTGTAACTCTATGATCTTTAAAGTCCATTCGAAACCAAACCATTCTGTGATTCTCTGATTCTATGACATTCAGCAAAACTCCCTGAGCCTTTTACACCCAAGATGTGAGGCTTATTCCCAGGGACAGATGCTGTGGAACAGAGACACCTGTCCCTCCCACAGAGCCGTGTCAACATGGCTTTCAGATGGCCCATCTTGAGTTCCAGGACCTGGCTCTTGTCACTCTCGGCAATGACCACCCAAGGTTCCATGTCCTTGGGATTCTTATCAAGGCAGGCACTCGACCAGGTGTAGCTGGGTTTATTAACTCTGCCTTGGCAATATTCCCAGGCATATTCCTTGGCAATGTTTCCAGGCGCAGCACCCACGATGACGTAGGTGGTGGTACAGCCCTGGGTCTTCCTGATCATCATTTGCTGCTGTAATTTTTCCAGGTACCACTGTTGGGTTTCTCATCCTGTGGCACTATGTTGGTGAGGGTGAAGGTAGCCATCCTGCTGTTGTACTCGAGGTGATGGCCATGGGAGTTCAAATGGCCCCAGCTCAAATCCATCAGGTTCCTGTAGTCTTGGAGGACAGCCTGGCTCTCGCTGAGTTTCTCTAAGCTGACATTGTAACCATGTAAGAGGGTCAACCCTTTTCCCACAGTTTTGGCATAATTTGAACCCATCAGCTTGACAGGTAAAGAAAAGGAAAAATTGTTAGTATTGGGGATGGGACTAATGGAGCAGGTTTCCCTGGAGCAGAAGTCTCTGAGTGTCAAGCACACTATTTTTTGTTCTATCAGTGTATGTAAATGAATGAATTTGAGAGAAATTGCCCCTCCTGGATGAACTAGAGCTTTTAAAAAAAAGGAAGTTTGGAATCCTGCTGTTCTCATTTTGACTTGTCACCTTTGTGATCCAGCCTGCAGCCTGTGGTGGAGGTATGGGTGGATGCATGAGACAAAGGAGCATTTTCCACTCCTAGGTTTGAAAGGTGATTTTGGTGAGACCTTTCCCCTGCCACATCTGGTTCTCTTTCCTGCTGTCTTCTCCATGCCCAACATCTGCCCAGTGCTCTCCCCAGATCCTCCCACCCCCATTCTCTGATTCCACTTGTGACTGCTACAGGTGTACCACACTCCAAACACCAGTGTTTGCCTTCTCTAACCCCATACACAGGAAGATGTCTTGTGGTGATGGTGTTTGAAGTTACATGAGATGAATCCCATCCAGTGGGTCCTTTTGCATGTCCGTGTAGGAGGGGTGGGAGGAAATACAAGTGTTTAGTTAAATGCTGCAATTCATGTTTTAATGACTGGAGGGTGACATGCTGTAAGAGAGGACACTCACCTGGGGCTCAACACACCGTGTTTGAGGTCTCTTGCCAGTTCCAGGCTGGTAGGTGTAAGCAGAGTACATGGGAATACGCCTGTTTATGTCATACAGGGTGGCAAAGTAATAACTGTTGCTGTAGTGCTGGCAGATCCAGGCTGGGTTCTGAGGCTCCAGGGCTTCATCTGGGGAGTATTGCCACAGAAAAACTAAGGACATGAACTTTTAAAGGATGTCACCACCTCGCTGTGTCCCAGCCAGAGGCAGCTCGCCCAGACCTGCAGCAGCAGCAGCCACAGCATCGTGGGAGGATTTCAGGTGAAGGGCTCTTGCTCCCCTGGAAGGCAAATGCAGAGGGACACTCAACTTGGACAGAGTGGGTCATGGCCTGCAGTCATTTTTGTGCTGGTGGGATACAGCTGGCAGAGAAGGGGAATGTTTCCACTGCTCATTCATTCACAACTAAATTGGACTAATTTTCCTGCATTTCCAGAAGTCCAGGAATACTGTAACAACATGTTACAGTATTAATGTCATGTTACCAGAAATAAGCAGAAGAAGCCATGGACTTGTCCTCATACCCCTAGGATCAACAAGCTCATGGTTTTCCATTTCACTACTTTTTTATAAAATTTATGCTCCAGTCCTCAATAACTGGCACTGCTCTGCCTTTCATGTCAGCATGGGCATTGCCCACGTGTTGTCCAGAGCTGTGCACTTCCCACATGGAAAAGGGCTGTGAGTGATGTTGAAGGAGCTCTGTTGCTCATCGATCCAGCTCCCATGGGGTCTGTTTTGTAAGACAAACCTCCATTTCTTCAACCTGTAAAAAATCCTATTGGATCCTCCAGTCTTCTCCCAGTTGGGAGCTCAGAGGTTCCTAGACAAAGTACTTCTGGTAAGCTTTCCATGTCATGTTTGAAAAGAAGCAGGACTTGCAGCACTTTCCTAGAGAAATTGTTCCAAAGTCCAGATCTGGCTTCTCCCCAAGGATGTTCTGATTTCCACTTCAGTTTTCTTTCTATGAGATGCTACAGGCAGCAGTCCAACCTCGTGCTCAATAGCAGGGCAAGCTGGGAGGTAGCTGAGCAACTGCAGGGAAATGGAAAAACCACTTGTGACTGCAGTACTGCAAAAAGGGGATTTTGAAACAGAGGAGAGTGGTGTTTCCACTTTAATGCTTGGCATTCAGTGCTCTGCCCTAGTTGACAAGATGATCAGTCACAGGTTGGACTCAATGATCTTGGTGGTCTTTGCCAACTCAATTATTCTGTGATTCTATTGAAAAAAATGAGGGACCACCAAAGTCTTATCCTGAGTCTTCAGTCCCCACGGAAAAACAAAATGAATAGCCAAAGAGATGCTAAGGAGATTGAGCCCTGCAGGTCTTCAGGACAGAGGAAGTCACAGTAGCAGAAGCCAAATGGGCATAAGAAAACAAAATCTAGGAAAGAGAAATGTTGCTTGGACATGTAGATCAAGGAGATATATGCTGTTGCAGACTGCTGTCCTTCGAGGGCAGCAAAGATCCCATGGCCACAGCAGGATCTGCAGGTGTCTGGATACTGGACATTCCACCCTCATTGACCTGTGTGCCACCTGTGGTTTTTGGGAGGTACTCTGCTGATGTGAGCAAGGACAGAGACAGAGACACCTCAAGGCCAGCACACTTTGCAACAACCAGGGTGCTGAGACATGCATGTCTCACCTTCCTGCTGTGCCAAGTATGTTCATGGAATCTTTATAGGCAGAATCACAGAATGGTTTGGGTTGGAAGGGATCTTAAGGATCATCTTGTTCCAACCCTCTGCCATGAGCAAGGACACCTTCCACTAGATCAAATTGCTCAAAGTGCCATCGAACCTGGCCTTGAACACTTCCAGGGATGGGACAGCCACATTTCACCTTTGCCAAGTGTTCGAATGAATGTGAGCCTCAAGTGATGGTTAAAAAACTGACCCAGACCAGACCAAAGATTTGAGGTTCCTAGAAGAGGCAACAGCTGCTTCTTCTGTCCCTTCCTGGTGTCCCAGAAGTGATCCTAAAGTACCTCTGCTGTGCAGCTCTCCCTTAAGGAACATGGCCCATCTCTCATGTGAATGACACAACCCTTGTCCAGGGACATGTAAGAAGTACCACTTTTATGGGGAAAAATGTGAGAAAAGGTAAGGATGTAAGAGATTGACTGTGCTATCAAATCCCCCCAGGGACACTGGATGTACATTGCCCATTCTAAACTATTTCCTTGAGACATTCTACGCAACATTCCAAATGCTGGCTTATGGCAATCCTTGAATTTTGGAGATAAACGTGTTCAATCCATTAATCCCTCACAAGGATTGACAGTTTTTTTAATATTGTCCACTTCAGTTGAAAAAGTTGGCATGGGATTTGGTTATATTACCTCCACCAGACTGAGTGTCACATTCCCAGAGCATGCAGAGCAGGTGACAGAGGGGTCTCCTCCTTGTCACCAATGAAGCATCACCCTGCTACAAACACTCACCAGTTGAGAGCTGCCAGGTTCCCTGTGGTTTGTATCACTCCCTCAGTTCCTTTCAATTTTGGAGACCAAAAATTTTCTCTTTCTGATTCTCACGTGGCAACACAGAGTCTTCTGGGGAGGATTAGGCAGCAACCAAAACCCCTTGTCACAAACACACCCCAGTACTTCTGTGGGTTGGGTGTTGATGGGTGAAGAGATGGCAGCAAGGAAAAAACAGGATGTTAGCCTGGGAGCAGGGGTAAAA